CACACACACACACTCTCTCTCACACGCACAGGTGTGCTTGTAAATTAAAACACACTCAGCTCTCTGAATGGGGAAACTACTTCCATTGTTTTTATATATAATTAATTAACATTTGCACTACTAGTTAAAAGTTCTGTTACTTTAAATGGTAATAATATTTCACTATTTTTACTGTATTTTTGCTCAAATAAATGCAGACTTTGTGAGCAGAAGAGACTTATTTCAGAAACATTAAAAAGTCTTACCGACCCTAAACTCATGAACATTAGTGTATAAAAATGATGATTACCATGATAATTGATTTCCACACCCATTAAGAAAAAGTAATACAATTTAACAAAAAAGGTTTTAAAATTACAACTAAAATGCAATTTTTCATCATATACATTAGAATTTGTTAAATAAAGAATGTGAGTTCTAAAGATATATTTTAATAAATACTGGAATTAACTTGCAACTTTATGCATCTGGTATAAGCTTTTATTATACATACACACACACACACACACACATATATATATATATATATATATATATATATATATATAGAAGAGTTTATTTGCAAAAACAGATAACTCCGTTTTTATACATTTTCTTAAATCATGTCTTTTATTGTGTTAGTTAACTGTATTTTTTTTATTATTAATATTTAATCAAAACAACCCAACTGCAGTTTGATTGATATTAATTGGAATGCAGGGCAAAAAAAAAAAAACATGATTTTTTTCATCTGTTATCTGTTTTTGCAAATGAACTCTTCATATATATATTAGTTTTATCAGTTTACTTATTTTATCATGCATTCCATTGGAATTGAACTCATAACCTCGGTGAAAATGAGTATAAATATTATAATCTGTAATCCACATGATAACCAAAACAGAACAATTACTGCATTTTTAGAATTCAAAAATGTTTGATTTACTATTTACTTCAAAAACACACACTGAGACTGACAAGATATTTGGTAAATTGCTCTGTAATTCACATCAGCCGCTTGTGTTTTCAACGAACAAAATAACAAAACACTGTACAATATTAATCAGAATGAGCTCGTATGCAGTGAGTGAGTACAGCTGAGCGTGTAAGTGCTAGTTTGGCGTCTCTGAGCTCGTAACACCTGCGTCTCCATTGAGTCTGAACTCTCCAAACCCTAATCAAACACTCGCTTCCCAGCTCAAGACGGCAGCTTTGATTTAAGACCACGCTCAGGCCAACAAACTCAGCTCATTCAAGAATGTGTCAGACAAACAACAATCAATCACACATTAACCACACGCTACACCTGCTGGATGAAGAAGAGCATCTGCACGTCTCTGTTTATAATCAACAGTGATGGTGAAGCACTGAACATGCTCAGATGAGGCTCTGAGAGGATCAACAAGAACCATCCTCTAACCCAACTCAAACCAGCACATAATGAGTTTAACCACCGATCATTAGAACAACAAACACTGGACCTGCTAGCAACCGCATTACAACA